AAATATTTCTTTTCTATTATTGTCATATTTTAATTAAACTATACTGGATGAGAATTCAAGTCCCCTCTAATACACTCCAAATGCTCCTTGTTTCCAATTTTTTAATGCATATAGTGATCATAATCTGAGCCCCACTTGAGAAACAGCCCAGGCTTTAGGCTGTAGTTGACCCTAAAAAGCTATGAAGCAGGATTTTTTTGGAACATTTCTATTCAGTTGTGAGACTCCAAATCATAATCTCTGCTCAGGTCTGAATGCAAATGACAAGAAAATCAGAAGACCTAGAATCCTCTTCAGCCGGGCTCACATAACATTGCCATGGAATTTCAACAACACCCCTGCATTATCCAGGACTTGTCACTAGCCCTGGCTCCTTGCTTCACCATCTGTCCCGTGTGTTTGCTCTTTAACTGCAATCTAACTTGGCTTTAGAGCAGGTATTGTTTCAAACTTTCTAATCCACAATGTGTTCTTTGAAATTACGTCTCAGTGCCACCTTGTAACTATTTCTCTGGCAACATTTTTTTTTTCAACTTCAGATGTAGCCCCTTGGTTAATCTTACTCTTTAATCCATGATGCTCCATTCTCAATTGGGTGTGCAAGGCCCTCTCTTATTCATTCATTCATACATTCCTTTTCTTCTCCATTCTCCACTTCTATTCCTCTGCCTTCTCCATAAGCAACCATTCCTAAGTGTTTGAAGTATACCCTTCTCTCTGTAGGAGTTCTTGTAAAACGTATATTTTTGTTTTGTGTGCATGCATTTTTAATTTATATAAATCATATTGTAGTAAAAAATCTCATTGTTTCTTTCTTCACCCAGCACTACATTTTCAAAAGTCTAACCATGTTGCTGAATATATGTCTAGACTGTTCCTTCTAACCGATGCCTAGTTATCCATCTTATCCATCTGCATCACAGAAATGGACACACACATCACCCTCAACTCACCGATACTACTAATAATGCTGTGACAAATATCCTCATACATATGTTCCCTATGGGTGAGAATTCCTCTGGATTCCTATCCCTGCAGGGGAAATGTTGGGTCATAAGGAACATATGTATCAGGGTCCAACCAGGAAAGCAGCAGCCACACTAAGTGAATTAAAACTGAGGGATTTAAATGCAAGAACAGGTTCCAGAGGTGATGGAAGAGCTGAGAGCCAAACAGAGGATATGAGATAACCCAGAGATTAGTAGCAGGAAAGCCCCTACCACATCCAAACCACAGGAATTACTTACAACTGGAGCCTGAGTCTGATGGGAGTTGGAATTATATCGGGGCTGCCTGGTGGGAGCTGAAAGTGAAGGAAGAAATATATATACACCCTTGGAGACAAAGGGAGAGAGAAAATACCCTGTTCTCCACCCGCCCCCCGCCTCAGATCTCCTTTCAGTGCCTTCTGCTATTTGAACCCACCCCCAAATGCTGCCTGTAGGTGCCAGGGCCGAGGAGGGACAGGCGGGGGCAAATGAGAGTGCAGACTGTTGTAAACACACTGTTTACTTGGTTTGACTCAGTCCTTTCGATTGGTCTCCATAGTAACAGCACTGGTTCCTCTCCTACCAGCAGCAAATCTCTACATCTCATCCACCCTTCACGGCCCATCATTCTCCAAAAAGTAGCAGCTGAGATCTCTTCCAACTTCCTTTGAATGTGTCTAGCCTACTACAGATGCCTCAGGCATCTCCTCAAATCTACCAGCTCGCTGGATCTCAGGGACCCACCCATCCACTGGGCCATAACCTCTCGAGGCCAATTGAAATGATTATAGTTTTCATTTCTGTAAGTTCTTTTTGGTTCTTTTTCAAATCTATCTTTTAAAAAGTTTCTTGTACTTCGCTTATATTTCCAAATCCCTCTATTATTTCCAAAACACATGAAACATGCTTATTTTATGTACGTAAACATATATATTTATACAAAACTAATCTTATTTATGTATATCCTGTATCTGAACATCCCAATACATAAAGTCTCTGTGATCAGATTCTGTTCTTTGTTGTTTCTGCTGTCTCTTAGTCATTGTGCCTTTTTTCCTCATGGGTTTTATTTTTGTTGGTGAGCTCATGTCCACTGTAAATTTATCTGTAGGAATGCTGTAAGAACTGGCTGGGGGTACAGTGGTCTAGATTCCTTGTAGTCCTGCAGGGATGACTGGCAATATTTTGTAAAGATACCAAAGGTTTCTACCAGTCCAGGACCACTTTATAATTTCTCAGCTTAAAGTTCTGTTGTGTTTGTTGTTCAAATGCTTTTTTTTTTTTTCTGGAAAGTACCATGAACTAAGTATTGCTGTGTATGGAGAAGAATGCTACAGAGACAGTAATTAGTCCTTGAGCGGGAAAGATGCAGTAATAGTGTTTGGCAACCCTGTTATGGGTGTTTGAGTAATCCTATTGGGAAATAAAACGGTTACACTACCTGGTAGTAAAGCTAGAAAAGACCCCCAGAACCTCATTATCCTCACTCTTAAATAACATCTACTCATATATGTAACACATTTTACCTTTGTGTTGCAAAAGAGATGGAGAAGAGAGAGAATGAATGAGAGATTCCCTGAGTAATGACTATAATTTGGGTTTAGAATGTGATGAAATAAAAAGAAGTTATTTGTCTCTTACTAGATACGGAGTCAAAGTTACTACATGGAGCAAATAATCAACTTGTGAGGATGCAAAAGTCATGAAACAGGTGGTTCCTTATTAATTCGTGCAACAAACACCAGAAACCAAGACTCAAGCTGACAAGGACCAAGTCTGTTTTATTCCTCATTGCATCCTTAGTGCCGAGAATGACCATAACAGCCAAAATTTGTTGAATGAGTACCTACTGTACGCCAGGCCCAGTACTAGGAGCAAGAGATAAAAACCCTTACCCTCAGTCTTATGAAAAAATCCTACTTCCTCAAAGTAATAGAAGCTTGAATCTGCAAACAAATGAACATGAAAGATATTACCAAAGATAATGAAAACAATGGATCAGACTCCTTATAATCATTACAATTGTCGCTTTCTCCATTAACTGACTCTTACAACAGCTCTGTGAAGCAGGCAGGGCAAATATTACTACCCTCCCCCACCCCCAACTGAGATAATACTACTGCTCAGCAGTTCCTGAGGGATTCTTTTTTTTTTTTTAAAGATTTTATTTATTCATCTGAGACACAGAGATACAGAGAGAGAGAGAAAGCATGAGCAGGGAGAGAGGCAGAGGCAGAGGGAGAAGCAGGCTCCTCGCCGAGCCAGGAGCCCGATGCGGGGCTCGATCCCAGGACCCCCGGATCATGACCCGAGCCGAAGGCAGACGCTTAACCATCTGAGCCACCCAGGCGCCCCTCCTGAGGGATTCTTAATAGCCAGCACTGTTAAGTGCTTTACATCATTATCTCTTTGATCTGCCAGTAACCCTTATAAGGAGATACTATTATTTCCTCCATTTCAGACTAGAAAATCAATGGAGCTAAAAAACAGTTTGAGTAATTGTGCCCAGGGGTGCCTAATTATTAAATAGCTGAGTCAGGAGTCATCTCAGGTGGTGGGACCCAGGGCTCTACACTGCATGGAAAAGGCAGCTGGACACAGATAGCAAATGAAGATGCTGGAACTAGTGTATCAGCACTCCAGCCAGCGTGAAGGGTTAACTTGCTTCAAGCTTATGCACTCCTTGCTTGCTGACCAAAGTCCCTTGATCTGTAGCAGAACTGACTGTCCTTGAGATTTGCACACCACTGGCCTTGAGGAGTGAAGGACCAAACTTTCCCAGAAGATAAGGTCTGACTACATTAGAAAACAGCGGCCATGGATGCCAGCAAGTCTGTTCAGGGTCATGACAGCAGATGACTAACTGCCTGGGCACCTGCTTCTCCTGCACACAGCGCTCCCCCCCCC